AAAAAAAAAAAAAAAAGGACTCCTGGGAATTCCCTGGTGGTCCAGTGGTTAGGACTCTGTGCTCTCACTGCCGAGGCCCCGGGTTTGAGGCCCCAGGTTTGACCCCTGGTCAGCCAAGCGGGAGAAAAAAAAAAGACTCCTAAGAGGAAGGTTTATCACTTGTACATAATGCTGCCTAAGGCCAACTTCCAGACTTAGTCTGTGACCCTCCCTGCTCCCCGCCAGCTCTCAGCCCACTGATATGTAACTTCAGCTCTCACACTTAAAGTCCTGGCCAGTGGAGCCTGCGTAATCTGCAGCACCAGTTATTTCTCTTGCTTTTCCACCACCTTCCTTCGAATACTTGGTATCTAGAATAGTAGTTGGCCCCTGACAGACAGTCAGTCAACGCTTCTCCTTCAGCCCAGCTCACTCATGCTAGGTCTATTCAGCCTGTGTCCTGCAGCTACTATATGTGGGGAAGGAGAAAGGACAGAGTCACAGCCAGTACAATCAGTGATGTGCCCCAGCCTTACAAAGAGAGAGGAGACAGGCTTTGATATAGGACATAGGAGAAGAGAGGTTGGCAAGAAAAATTCCCAGGCAAGCAGAAGAGTTTGTCACTATTTTGTAGTCCTTCTGAAATGTGAGGAAGGGTTTACCTGTAAGTCCCTTTCACTGGACTCTCTATAAGAGTAGTATCAAGTAAGCCCTTATGCAATAAGATCAGAAGATATATGTACCTCATAGCTCTTACCTTGAGGGGAACATGCAGTCATTTTCTCGGTATAATCTGTTCTTAATGATCTGATAGTGGGTCCCTAGCTTCCGTCTGACTACCTCCGCCATCATCTTCCTGGAGATACCTCCTCGGAAAGGGGTCAGATCCTCTTCTATGACACTGAGAAAGAATGGGAATCATCAAGGAAGGCAGGCCAAGAGAATAATACCATTCCACCTACTTGCTATCTGTGGGTCTAGGCTTAGTATTAGAGAACACAGTAAGCTATGGGAAAGAATAGAGGGCAGGAATGAGCAACCTCTTTCCTGGAAGCACCTTAGGCGATCTAAAATATCAACAACAACAAAGCCACGAAAAAGAAAAAGCAAGTCAATATCTCTTCTACCTCCCTCCATCTGGATTGCCCCTCCTTGGCCTGATGCATATTCCTCCTTCACTGCTCATGCCACACCCACGTCCTTCCAGTCACTGCAGTCCCACTGACCTCCCCTTCTTTGAATCTCACAGAAGGTATGGTTTATGGCTTACAGCCTGACACTGTTTGAGGCCCATGTTCTAGTCTGTTTGGCCTCTACCACCCTGCATACTCTAGCAGTATGTATGACTGACAGGAGTAACCAGAAATTACACTATTTTGAATCCCTTTTAAAGTTCAGTACATAGCAAGTTTTCAGTAAGTATCACACACATCAGGTGAATTTTTTGAGGAATCACAGAATAACATAATGAGGAGTTAAAGGACCCTGTTATTTAGCTGATGAGGAATCTGAAATCTAGAGAAGTGAAGTGTCTCAGACCTGGGACTAGAACCCAAGGCTGATTTCAAAGTAATCTTTCTACCATAACACACTCCAGCCCTAATTTGCATACATTAAAGATAACCAACAAGAAACTTATGATTCGATTGATTTAAATATATGTTCATTCCTTCAACAGTATTTATTGAGTACTTACTGAGAGCCAGCACCAGGAATATGACAGTGAATATAAGACATAGGTCTTGACCTCAAGAAGCTTTCAGTCCAGGGGAGAAAGCAGACAAGTACATGTACTAATTCCCACAAGGAGTTAACAGGCACCTGGGCCTCTCCTCTCCCAGGGTATTTTTATCCCCCAGAAATATAAGAAAACCACTGCAAGGACCCGGTCTGCTCTCAAAACATGCTTGGCTCTCTGACCACTGCAACCAAGGTCTCTTGGGGATTTTAGGGAATTTCCTCCTGACAAGATCTAAATTCTTAAAGACATGTCAAAGAAAAGAACTCACCCATGGTAGCAGCTGCAGTTTTGACTTGAACATGGTTCATAAATCTCCAAAGCCCTGTTAATTTGGTCAATAAATACTTTCCATTTTGAACCTTCAAAAAGTGAAGTAACAAAGTTAACAAAATACCCCTGAGCACTCTTATTCACTAGCACCAAGCAGGCACAACCAACAGAAGGTCAAAACTTTTAGACACCCTCTTCTCATCCCACTGGTGGAAATGAACCTCCAGGAAGGATTCATTCTACAGTTCTCCTGCACTCAGGTCAAGTCTGCCCCTTTACTCGGGCTGCCAGGTATCCAAGAAATGGGAAAAATTCCACGCTTAATGCCTGACACTCAGAAGGTTATGGATAAACTGGTGACACGGATTCTCAACTTTTACTAATCAAACTGAGCTCCACAAAGAGGATCGATTAAAAGCCCCAGGCATTATTAACCTTCCCTTCATTTCTTCTGGCAATGGACTAAGAACACTACACACACACACACACACACACACACACACACACACACACGAATTATCCCCCAGTGTGTTAGGGAGGCGCGGGGTAGCCGAGCGTGGGCCATACCCACTGTGGGTAAACAGGGGCATGGCCCTCCCATCCCCTCTATCACTCAATTCCGGAGGACGGGTTACTCTCCAGGGTCCTGGACAGGAGAAGCACCACCAGACAACTAAACGCACTCTCCGCTCCGAGGTGCCCCCGTGCCCCCTGCCCAGCTCTGCCCCGCAGCGGCCACAGCACGAGCGTGGCGCCGGCCGCAACGGGGAGCGAGGGGCGCGGGAGAGCGCCTCGGGACCGGGCCAGACCCCGAGCCCCAGCGGTGGGCTCGGCCCTGTCCGGAGCCCACCTGACTCCTTTTGGCAGCCCGGCACCGGGGGCAGGAGTAGCAACAGCAGCCACAACCGAAGCTGGGAGCGCACCCACCGCTCCATCGCCAGCCCTCCCACTCCCGGGTCCAGGCTGCAGCGCGAGCGGGCGGAAGCGCAGCCCCGCACAAAGATGGCCGTGGAGCCGCACCACGTGGGCGGAGGGCCGCCCCGCCGTGAGACTGCTGCGCTCAGCTCTGCCTCCGGATCCTGGTCCCGAGCCCGGCCAGCCGCAAAGTGTCCCTGGGAAGGCGGCGCGGGGAAGCTGGGCACCCACTGCGCAGCTAACCACAGTGCGGTGCGGGCAGACTGCAGCTGACCTGCTCGTTTGTTTAGAGCCGAGCTATCCACATATCCACATGCATAGCCATCTTTCTCCCTCTCTGTCTCGCGCGCGATCTCACGTGAAATCGGATCCCAGGAGAGAATGAATAAATGGCATCCCCAGGGAAAAATATGTGTAATATTTGTCTCTTACATCCTATAACATCTTGAAAACATCTTATTCTCTGCAGCCAGAAAACTGAAGGCCAGAGAGGATATGTTTTTTACCCACAGATTTAGTTACCGGCACAACCTAGGCTAGTAGTTCTTTCACAACCTCGAACTGCTTCTTACTAAATAGCATAGATTTGTTGAGCACCTGAATGTGTACAGTACTGTTAGACCCCAAAGGGTTGCAAATAGTATATAGCACACATCTCTTTGTAATAGCAGTTTATAACAGTTGGGGTGACTCAGGAAAAAAAACAGTGGGCAACATTTTTCTGTTCAGTATAGGTATACAGCTATATATGTTATATAAAGTAAAGTGTAAATGAAACGGCGTTCATTTCGTTCTTGCGGTCTTGTCTTTAAACCCCAAGCTCTCTCTGAAGATTTTCTTGGGATTAACACCACAACCCACAGAGCTTAGTACCGTGTCTTGCATGCTGTCTGTGGACTTTGGGCATACTTTTTTTTTTATAATATATTTATTTATTTTTGGCTGCGTTGCGTCTTCGTTGCTGCACGCGGCCTTCCTCTAGTTGCCACGAGCTGGGGCTACTCTTCTTGGGGTAGGCTTCTCATTGGGGTGGCTTCTCTTGTTGCGGAGCATGGGCTCTAGGTTCACAGACTTCATTAGTTGTGGCACACGGGCTCAGTAGTTTTGGCACACAGGCTTAGTTGCTCCGCGGCATGTGGGATCTTCCCGGACCAGGGATCGAACCCTTGTCTCATGCATTGGCAGGTGGATTCTTAACCACTGTGCCACCACGGAAGTCCCCTTGGGCATACTTGTAATGTTATATTTATTGTAATAAATTGTAATTACTGTGTTTTCCTGGTGTCTTGTTTCTTCTACTAGACTGTAAGCTCTTTGGGGTATTCACTTTTGCAACTCTACCATCTACCTAGTCCTTTTCTTAACATAAAATAAGCGCAAGATTTGTTGCTGAAGCACGACTTCGCGGCTCGATCTCCTTTACCTAGCAGTGACTTGAGCTCAGGTGATGTCTCCCAACCTCCCCCATCTGTAAAAAGGGGCTTGATAACTTGAACACGGTTGTTACTTGGAGACCATGAGATAACAGGAATGAGCCCTAACATGGCTGTTCGCACGTCGTTGGAGCTTGGTGACTGAAGCCGTGGGAGGAAATACGTTGGTTAGTACTAGCGGGGAAGGCGGGACCGCGACACCAGCGAGTTCCACTGCGCAGGTGCACGCAAGACGGGGTGTGGTGCTCCCTCCCTGGCTCTCGTGTAGTTCCGGGGCCTGTTCGCGGCTGGGGCTGTAGGCCGTCGCGGAGCTGACGTCACCACTGTGCGCTGCCACGTCTGCTCAGCTCCGCGGTAATGGAGGCTGAGGATGGGTGCTGACGGGGCCGGGCTCTGCCTCTACCTTTAGCACTGGCTCTGACTCTGGCGCTGACTCGGTGTCTGGGACTGGCAGCGCGAAGCCTGGACACCTTTTCTCGACTCTCCGGGAGGGGACGGCCCGCGGGCAAGCAACTGGTTTGGAGCGCCTCAACCTGGGCAGGGAGTTCTCTTGCCTGGGGTCCAGCCTGTAAAGCCGCCTCCTCCCAGGGATCCTTCCCCACTGGCTTGGCCTCCTCCATGCGTAAGTATTACCGAGCTGCCGCGCTGTCCGATTGTCCCTGGCCTGGCTCGGCCCTCCAGGTTGCGCGGCGGTGGCCGCTTTGTCATCCCCTCTTAGGGGCCAGTCTATTGAAGTTTGTGGTCCTCTCGCCGCCCACCTTTCCCCACCCCATCCTCTCGTCCTCTTCCGTCCCAATTTTTTTGCTCCACACTTTTCTTTCCCTTTGCTGGTTAATTGAGCAAGGACCAGCTGCCCCTACATCCAACGGTTTGAATGCTTTGTCCCACCTGGCGTTTGTTAATCTGCAGCCGAAAGCTGTTAGGAATAGGGAACAGAGGATATCTGCTGTAACGTTTTGAAAACCAGGGTTTTTCCACGGTGTCATTCTTCAGTTTTTAAGTTGTATTGTTTAGGAAACAGATTTTTGGTATCCATATTGGCGGAGCCGTGATTTTGCCATAGATTGATTAAAAACAGTTTCTTTTCAGTGATGGTCTTTATGTATTACTTGTCTTTTAATCCTGCAGTTTAAGTAATTTCTCAATGATTTTACATCAGTTTTTCTGGAGTAGTCATCCACTTGAGCTCTTTCCAGTATTTTCACTCTAACATGTGGAGATACCACATGAACAGTTTTACTTTTAAAGCGTTAAAAGACCTTCTGATGTACTTTCACGCATCTTTGTCAGTCCTGACAACCACCTCTGTAGGACAAGGAACGCTTTTTTTTCCGATGAGGAAACAAATTCAGAGGTTAAATGCTTCCGAGTCAGATAATAAGAAGTCAGATATTAGGAAGTCAGATAATAAGAACTGATCTCAGAATCTAGATTCCCTTGATAACAAAACCTAACATTTTGGACAGTGCTGATTCTTCTGCATTTCAAGTGGCTTATTGTGAAATACTACTTTTTTTTAGCGGTACGCGGGCCTCTCACTGCTGTGGCCTCTCCCGTTGCGTAGCACAGGCTCCGGACGCGCAGGCTCAGCGGCCATGGCTCACGGGCCCAGCCGCTCCGCGGCATGTGGGATCTTCCCAGACCGGGGCACGAACCCGCGTCCCCTGCATCTGCAGGCGGACTCTCAACCACTGCGCCACCAGGGAAGCCCCTGTGAAATACTACTTTTGAACTGGAAATGTATATATTCAATGTTTCTTGTAAATTTCTACCTGATTGTAATATCTTTCAAACAGAGCTTAGATTAGAACTTAGGCTTCTTACCCATTGGAGACTGAGTAGTCCTTTCATTAGAATAAACTAGGTAATAGACATTGGGAGCATTTGTTTGACAATCTGGTTTTACAAGGTCTGCTCACTCAGTTTTTCTGGTTGTTTTGTTACACTGCCTACTTTAAAAATAGTAAACTGATATTTAAATGTCTCTTTTTGTTCAGTGTTGAAACAGGCTGACAACCGTTAACCTGGGTTGCAGCTACAGGTGGCACTGGAAGCAGACTGGTTCCTGGACATGCCCGGTGGAAGGAGGGGCCCTAGTCGGCAGCAGCTAAGCCGTTCAGCTTTACCTTCTTTGCAGACTTTGGTTGGTGGGGGCTGTGGCAATGGAACAGGCCTGAGAAACAGGTAAAGAAGAAATAAGACTTTGCGTAATTTGTAATATCCTATGATCAGTAAGGCTAATACAGAAGACTAATACAGACTACTCAGATATTTGCTTATCGGGATTGTTTTCTGACACTGAAATAGAAATCCTGACCCTAAAGATTGAAAATGAAGTATTTCAGAATACTTTGGAGATAGAAAGTTGTGATGCCCACAGAGTGAAAACAGGCTGATTCATACTTATGGCTGATAATCCAAATTCTAGTCATCACCTTTTTTTCCAGCTATTAAAAGAAGAGAGAAATGAATTACAGTTCAAGATGAATGTGATGTTTTAACTACTTACTAGCATTCTTTTTTGGGGAGGGCAAATTAAAATAGACAGTTAACATATGATTCTAAAATTGTCATATTCTATCAAGGGTCTTGAAAATTATTTTGTTCAAAATAAAATGAATTAACTATCAGCTGTAGCCTAAACATCTTAAGATATGTGTCATGTTGTACGAGAATAAAGAATTTGATTTTCTTAATGGAAATTTATCTCTATTCCTAATTTTCAAAAGTTAGAATGAATTATTTCTAAAATTATCCAGGATAACTCATTTCATCAGGAGGTTCGATCATGTAGCAGTAGAAAGAGATGGCTTTTACTGGATTGTTTGGTCAAGATAATTTTTTTTTTCTGCTTCCTCCCTGAATAGAGTTTTCTCTGGCCTGGATTCTAATTTTCACAGCTAGCAGTCAGTACTACTCTTGTCTTTTCAGGCCCTCCTGGTGTTATTTGTGCACTTTCTCTTTCTGGCCTGCCCTTCTTTCTTTCTGACCTTCCACCCCAAGCTCTACTCTGTCTTCAGAATCATTTCTGATCTTGTCATTTCAGTGGGGCTCTCCCTGAAATTCCAGTTTGAAGGGACTTTCCAGGCTCTGATTCTCATTATACTAATTTTCAATCCAAATTTTATATTTACATATGTATACAGAGTACTTATAATTTATCCTAGAGTAATATTTTTACTCTCCTGTTGTTTGGATTTCCTCATTTTAAAAACAGTAATAATTTCTGCTTCATAAATAAATACTTTCTGCTTGGAAATAAATGAAGTAGTAAATTGCAGTAACTTTTAAAAACTTTACTCTGAATTTTCCAAAATTTCTACAAATAACATGTGTCGTTTTATTTCTTTATTTTTGTTTGTTTGTTTGTTTTTGCGGTACACGGGCCTCTCACTGTTGTGGCCTCTCCTGTTGCGGAGCACAGGCTCCGGACGCGCAGGCCCAGCGGCCATGGCCCACGGGCCCAGCTGCTCCGCGGCATGTGGGATCTTCCCGGACCGGGGCACGAACCTGTGTCCCCTGCATCGGCAGGCGGACTCCCAACCACTGCGCCATCAGGGAAGCCCTGTTTTATTTTTTTAAATAAAGAAAAATGAAAAAATGAGACTATGTGAAAATGCTCTTGAGGAAAGGTACTATCCAACATAGATACTG